AAAAAGACAACCATTTTTAATTATAAGTGCTTTTACTTTCTAGAACATAATTTATGCAACCTCACATACGCGGCTTTGCATTTGCTTGATACGCGGTTTTGTACTTTAAACGACGATATATTTATACAAGTATGTATGTATGTGATCAAAATGATGTTTAGAGATTTCTTATTTATTTTTATGTGCTTAAATTGTTGTTTTTTGTCTTAATTACAGTTGAGTGTTTGTTGTAAAATAAACATATTTTATTTGTTGCGTAAGGTAGAATAGTCTTTATGGTGGTTTAAGTTCTACCACTAAGATGGTAAGGGTGGTTCAAAAAGACAGAAAAATCTACTTTCTGGAATTATGAAAAAATGGAAAATATGGCGATAAAAGAATTACTCGTTTAGATTTGCTTAAATTTTTACAATCAAGGGTTTAAGAATTACGAATCTAAAATCAGACGAGATTCTTACTAAAATGTTACTCATACGCCTGGAACGTACGCTCGATTTCAACTTATTCCACGATAAATGATAGATCCAGTATGGACACGCCATTTGAATTTTCTAAATCTGATTTCAGATTCTTAATCACCAACCCCCTAAACCTGCGTAAAAAACGTTTTAGGCGAGTCGGATCGAACTTGATTTTTTCACCGCCATATTGGCTCCGCCATTTTTAAATTTTCCAACCTGATCTCCAATCGTAATAAGCGGCGCCAAAAACCCCAGAGGAAAATGCTTCAAGCGTATCGGATCGACTTTAATTTTTTAACCGCCATATTGGATTCGCCTTTATGAATATTTAAAATGCTCTAGTCACGTAATCGGTAAACTCAAAAACGTAAGAGGCTGCCGTTACTTTTTATTTTTTAGTATTGGGTTCTCCATTGGCACAAAAGTTGTAAAGCAAAATCTAATTTAGAATGAAATTCTCTACAACTTTCGCGTTTGAATATGCTACGAAAATTTACGAGAAATTGTTGAAAAATGGCGAACACCGTGGGAGGGAAGTAAATTTTTAAGATAAAAAAAGGGGTGATAGAAGTGTAGCGTTTCCTTTTTTGAGAAAAATGGGGTTAGCTGCAATCTAGTAAACCCCGATTTCGTTGTTGAAAATACAGTTTTTTCTTGGTAATTTACAGTGTTTGAAAAACAAATCTGACAAAACTGGACAAATGTGCATGTACATATATACCTTTTGGGCCATTGAATTCGTAAAACTAAAAATAGGTAAGTGCCATTAATATTTTCAAAATTTTAATTGGCGAAAAGTTATATATGCCAAATCATTAATGACGAATTCATTTTTCGCACATTGACGCAAATCGAGTTTATTGCCAAAATAAAAATCCGTAGCAATCGATTTGTCGGTAAGTCACAGCCAATGAAAGAGTCATCAATTAGTAGTCATTCAATATGACGCCCAATTTTTCTTATGTAAATACCTGTATGTATATATATGTGAGTATGTGCGAGTATCTTTAGTTGCGCTATATCTGCACCGCTTTGATCCAGTTATAATTGCTGCAGGTAAAATCGAGGTATCAGCTAGGCGGAGTGCTCAATAGCGTGATAACATTGTAATAACGCCATAACCAGTTTAGCAAAAAAAAAATTCCAACATGGAAATTTTCGTACATATATTAATTTTATGTGAGTAACATTATATTACATGTCTGACAATCATGTAAATGTTTTTATTAACATGCTCGTAACATACATATACACTGTTTTGACTATTCGAATGCATTTTTTTTTGACATCAAAAGTTCATCAGTGAAATTAAATAAGCAAAAGGTGAAGCTGTTGGAATATGCGCTCACCTAGTACATGGCATTGCTGTTGAGCTCCCGGACGTCGGGGCAAAGGCGATGTTTTTAGCATAAATTTAGACTACTANGTTAAACGTGGAATGCATATTTAACTATGTACGTACATATTGAGCTACGATAATTTTGTGGCGAATTCCTATTCTATTTTTAGTGTTTTAGTTTACGTACCTACAAAAGGCATTGTGGCTTTTATTTTTCGCAGTTCATAATGCTTGCAATTAATCACATTTAAATGCATTTAAGCGAGTGTTAATGTACGTGATCATTAACAATTCTTGTCATTGATATAATAAAAAATGACCGCAACTTAGTGTGAATTTGATAATGAGCGGGCCTACTAACACACAACCAAACTTACATATGTACGTACATACATAGGTAGATAAATGAGTCCTAGTCTATAACTATGTATGTACAGTAGGATGGTCCCAAAATGCATGTGAAGGGAAAAATGTTTAATATGTTAAGCTTCCACACCCTAGGATTTTTCTAAATGGAAAAAAGAATACCCGTATTTTTTTATATTTTGAACTCCCTCAGAGCCTGTGAAATTTTCCATATATTTTATGTGTGGAAAAAACACTTTTTCGTAGAAATGATATAGAATTATTGAAAATTAATATTTTTCGTTCAGAAAACACTATTTCCCTTTTAAGAGACTTCCAGTAAAAATATCCAATTTTTTATTTAGGCATTTTTTAATATTAACTACTTTTTATAGGTCCCCCAAAAACCTTAAAAAACTCAATGGGGGGCCCATTCAAACTTGTAAGTATTAAAAACTAGTAAAATAAGAAATTGGGTATTATTATTGAAAGTCTTTTAAAGGTAAACAGAGTTTTTTGAACGAAAAATATGGATTTTCAAGATTTTTATACAATTTTACGAGAAAAGTGATTTTTCCACATTTAAATCATTGGGTATATTAATCGTTCAGAAAAATCCTGGTGGGTGAGAGTTTTTTAACATTTTACTTTTTAGTCCGAAGACTTGACAATTTTTTTTCTTTTTAGAACGAGTTTGGAAATTTGGTAATCTTGTTTTCAATTTGGTAATTTTTTTCAACGTAAGTCTTTTCTTTTAAGTTTTTAATTCTAACTTATCATTTATAAAAATTTATAGCTTGAACCTTCTTACAATTCCACAAAACAAAAAAATTTCCTTATGTACTTACATATGTATGTATTGTGTCTACACCTTAAGAGAGCCAAAAATTGAAGGGCTCTTTAATGTAACAATTTGCCTTGATAACTCAGAACTTTTAGTAGAATTAAAATATTATGCTCATAAAAATTTGGTAATTTTTTTTTCTGAGTTTGTAAATTTTTTTAGAGGTTTGCTAAAAAAATAAAAATCTTTGTGGCAACACTGAACATGAGTTTTAAATTCAGGCGTGCGATTGAGCGTTATGGCGCTACGGGGCGTATACATTACACACGCATTTACGGGTATGTGAGCACGAAATGTTATTTCTACTTTTTTTAGTATATCTTTTTTAAGTTTTCATTTAAATACAATTTTGGTATGGAATCGTGAGCTTTATGCAAAACTGAAGATAATGCATTGTCTAAGATAAGTGTGCCACCATTTTCGACCAAGCACATCCTTGTCGAAAAATGTAACAACTTGTGAGATTTGCTCATTTACGGTGCAATTAACTATCGTTTCAAGCAGGTCGTTTAGTGTAGTATTAACAGGAATTTTCTAACCCGTCATAACAAAAAAAAATAAAAAAATATTTAGAATAGTACCAATGAAAATAAGAAATATTTTCTTTCATATTGTATGTATGTATGTCCTATGTATCTACATATTAAAAAAAATTCACAGTAAATTTCAAATGCTGACAGATTCCGAGAAATTTTGTGGCACAATAACTACAGTACCTAAAAGACAGGCAACATTGGCTAGGAAGGTCGCATGAAATTTACAGCCTATAAATAGCTACATCACATCCGCTACAAAGAAACGTATGTACAAAAATAATTAATTCTGGCATTTTCACCGTGTATGTACTATGTGCAATCACTCTCAGAACGATGCGTCGCCTTGACTCATCAAAAACAATTCAAGTGAAAGAAAGAGAAATTAACGCAAATTATGAGCAGAGCAAATGCCATTCGAGTGAGTGAAAGCAGCCTGTTCGAGGCAATCGCGCCAGCCACCTACCCCACGGGTAAATATATATAGACATAGTATCTTGTTGTCTATATAGCCTTTTGTCTTATTATTTTTATTTTTTTGAGGTTGCTTTGTGGCTGACAGCTGCTGACGGCAACACAGACATTTTGATTTAATGACGTCTCTTTTTTGCTGACTAAATAAATATTTAATGCCAACTTTCGAATTATCTAAGTAAATAAATAAATAGCGCGAAAGTCTGCAGGAGCTGTGGCAGATTTCTATGTTTGATTTCAAACATATTTCTAGCAGCTAAAAAAAATACACAAATAAGGTGAAAAGTGCGGTGGGAGGGTGGAGTGCTACACATAAACCAAATATCATGTGGCGTTTTGATTCAATTTTCAGTTTGCGGGAAATACAATAACGCCACCAACAAACAGTCGCAATGCCGCCACCAACACCGCTTGAGCCACAAGCGTTGACGTTTGCGTCAAACTATAAACCGCGTATTAAATAAACATTTGCATAAATGTGGTAAGCGTCACCACCAACGCACACACATCTATATCTAAGCGCATATTGTGTAAAAATAGAGCGAATGATTTATAAAGTCGTGCGCACACCACCGTCTGAAGATACATAGTACATTTGTCTATTTGCCGAATGGATTAGCGCCATGTCGGTGGTGTCACATTTCCGCTAGACTGACTATAGATCGCCCGTCTCAGCGACTGGCATATCTAGATAAATCATGCTGCGCGCTAGTAAACCACTGCCAATACAAATGTCGAAATGGTAAACCAGCGAAACGACGAAACGGCACACGAGCAAACCAAAGCAGCGCCGCCGCCGTCAAATGGTATGCAATGCATACGCTTGCGCTTGCCGCGACCCTACATGGCGTATGAGTAACCACCAACAGAGCAAAATAAAAACCCACTCGAGCGCTTATCATACATAGCACAGCAAACAAAACGAAATAAAATACTCGTAGCAATAGCTACGTGTACATGTCGATAGTAAATGGTGTGCCATATTTCTTGGTCGGTCCACTCACCTTTGTTCGTTGCATTTGCAATTCGCACACTCCGTTTCCGCGCTCGCCGCGTCACTATTGCGACTATCGCTGCTGTTGGCCGTTGTTGAGCGGTGTAGGCAGGATCGGCGGCTGAGGCAAGATTTCGGCTGCATTTGAATGATTGGTGCGGATAGTGCGCGCGGTAAACCGCCATGAATACGACCCTCATGGCTGGCCATGCCACAGCCACCAGCGGTGACGGTGATGGGCAGACGCGCCTGTTGTTGCTGCTGCTGCTGCTGATAGTGCTGTTGATAGTGCTGTTGCTGGTGCTGCTGCTGTTGTAGCTGATGGCTGGCGAAGGCGGCGGCCGCACTATTGGCCATGGCCTTCGAGGCGAGTGTGATCACTTGAGGGCGACAATAGCGCGACGCTCTGTTTGCTTCGTCATTGTAACTGCAAAATACAAAATAAAAGATTAGAAAAGTTGAAGACGAAATTAATTAAGATTTATACTAACAGGAGAAACAAGAATTAGAGCTGAGATAAAAGATGATAACATAAAAAAATATATATATTAATTATTGCTTTCAGAGGTAAACAAAGATTGCAGTTCTTGAAGAAAAGTACTTTAATAATTTTCATTGAAATATTATATATATCGCTATAAAATGTCAGTGCTCGGTATACACTAGGCGACAAATGAAAGTGTATTTTCATGAAAAAATTTTGGCTCATTTATTTGTGATATAAACCATATAAAACAAAGTTTCACAACTTATATAAAGTTCAAAAAAAAATTCAAGAATATTGTACCCAAATTTTTAACTTTTTCTTCAGAATTTCTAGAAAATTTTCGAGTGCGCAGTTTTGTAACCCATTCAGACTGCTTTTGCGGTATTTTTTATAGCAAGTGCAATTTACATAAACTGGCGTTTGTTTTTTGAAAGTTGTTGTTTGTAACGGTGTCCCGCATTTCATTTCATAAGAAATTCATGCTTATATGGAAAAAAGTGCAAAATTCCGTATCAAAAAAGTTCTCAAAAATCAATGCGATTTTGTAGTCGGTTGAAACGTGCACTTCATCAGACTAAAATTGAATGCGCTGCAAAACTGCATATTCAAAAAATTTTTGGATGAGATTTTTTTGAATTGTGGTAATTTTATATAAAGTGTAAAATTTGTATTTACATATATGGTTTATATTATATAATAAACTATATTTTCATAAATAAATAATGAAAAAAATTTTTCATGAAAATAATTGTAAAAATTATACATATAGGTATATGTATATAAGTGTATATATGTATGCATATGCCTGACCTTTTCTTCAACGGGTGGCAGATAACTGCATCTTCATACGCTTTTCTTTATATTGTCGCTGAATATCGCTTACATTTTCCTCAATAAAACTTAAAATTATTTCGAATTTTATTGCATTCACACAAATTACAGGGTGAACAGTTTTTTTACCTTTTATAGAGATTACTTTCCCGCTTTAATTTGTAAAGCTGCTACAACGCCATAAAAAAAGTAAAAAAAAGCCACATATTTACAGGTCGTAAAAATTTTACGCATTTGGCACAAATTAGCCGAGAAACTGAAAGATTGTCGCAGAATTTCCAATTGCTCGCCCTAGCCGCATTAAAAAGAAGAAAATGCAAAAGATAAACATATCTACGCTTAATGCGAAAAGTAGACTGTAGCAAGAATTCCGCTGGGAGAAAGGCTAATTTTCAAGTTGTTTCATGCACCTAAATTTTTTTTTCATATACTCAGCACACCGTCTGTCCGCTCGAAATACGGAGGCATCATAAATTTGGAGCGCGTGTTGTCATTAACCGACATAGCCCCCGCAATTTTGTCTCGCTAAAATTAATAGCCAACAGCTAAAAATTGAAAATTAACTTAAAAAAAAAAACAACAAAGTAAAGCAAAAGAATAGCAACGCAAGGTGAAATATACGGGAGGCATGTAGTCCCTGAAATTGGCCAGTGGGTTTCGCGTAAACAACATTTTCATTTTTTATTTCAATTGGGAATGATATATTTCTGCCTGCAGATTAACTGCGTATCAGCAACGGGAATGACTAGGAAAGGAATTTATTGTTGCTCCCACAATCTAAGTAAATAGAACAATAAAAATTTGTGATGCAAACGATAAGTAATTTTAGCTTGAAATTTCAATGGGGAAGCAATTGACGCCAATCAGAAACCTACATCACTATAAAATGTTTTTGTTTTTTTATTTTATAAGTTTTTAATGGTAAGAAAAACTAGTTGGCGAAAATGTGTGTTTTCAAAACAAACAATTTTCAGTGAATTGATAAAGAAGATAGCCCTTATGCGAATGTATAATTCTTGGAGTTCGAAACTATAATTTTTGAAATTTACAACAGTCATATACAATTTTCGAGACATCCGACGTGTTGGAGGTTTCACTAGTTTAGGAAATTGCCGCAAGAATAAAATATATTACATTTAGAATTTTAGTGTAATCTCTTTTAATAATTTCCCAGCCAAATATTACCTCAACGATTTAAAAAGTAATTTAGTATATTAGTAGAATTAATTTTCCTCAGTTTCGAAGAGCAAAAAACTTTGTGTAAAAGTGCGTCAAGAAACAAAAAATTTTAAAACACATGAAAAAGCACATTTTCAATACCTATTCGTCTTGGTGCACTCAAAGATTAAATATTTCCTGTTCGCTGTTTTACTATATTTGGCCCCCAGTATTGTGAATATATTGATTTTTCCGTGTGTAAAATTGCCTCCGTTGACTTTTATTTTGTCTGCTTTTCAATGTCAATACCAGGCATACTTTCTTGGAGCACACTTGCAATTCATTGAGATTTTGCTTTAAATATTATGTAAATATTTTTTGGCTGAGATTGTTGCTTTTTCCTGCTTTCTACGCACTTCTTTTCAGATATACTATTTTTTTTTAAACAAATCAAACACAGAAGTACACTGAGGGAAAAAAATATTAAAATGACCTGTTAATAATATTCAATTTTAGTATAATAAAGTGACTACAAAATACCGTTGATTTTTGCTTTTTTTTTTGTTGGCGGTGCTGCGCACTTCAATTTCTAATAAGATTTACAAACAATTTTTTACGATCCAGTCGAATGCATTTATGTAGGTATACTTGCATATAGTTATTTTGAAATGTATTTTGGCAAATATGAAGCAAAAAAATTAGCAACAAAAATTCGTTGCTGACTTGTCTCGCTTGCAATTGGACGTTAATTATTTTGGACAACTGACAACACGCGTACACAAAATATTGATTGCATAATAGCAGTAGCGAGGATAGGGGACGGGGTTGCAGTGGATAATGGTCTCCTATGACAGCCGATAATAAAGAATTATTCAATTGATTCGAAAAGATTTTGCCGACATATGCAACTGAAGCGCTGACATATAGTTTCATAAAGTTTTCGATACCAAAAATCTCTACAGATATTTGCTTGAAACTTAACATGATATACATACACACCTTCGGATATCCTTACCTAAACTATTCATAGAGTATCCCTTAAGATACTACTTTTTGTAAATTCCTTTATATAGTATCCCTTCTGATGCTGCTAGAAAACATCTACATACATACATACATAAACACATGTACAAAATAAAGAAATAACAAAATATTCAATATTGACGCCTTGAGTTAGAACTTGTTACCAGGACGTTTCGGGGGTCGCTGATTACGCATCTAATGTCAGTTTTTCAAAATGCAAAATGGCGGTACCAATATGGCGATTATTAATATTTTTTTTTTTAATATTGGATTTGCTCTAAACTCGGCACTCGGGAGTTTTTGAGGGCACTGATTACGAATTTGTAGTCAATTATTATTTTTTATTTAAAATGGCGGATCCCCAGTATGGCGATCAATTTCTTAAAAAATAACTAAAATAAAAACGCTGATGCTGAAAGTTTCAGGCATTGTCATGGGTTGAAACTCTTTACCAATGGTTTTCTGGGGTTGCTGATTATGAATCTGATGTCAGATTTTTTTAAATTAAAAATGGCAGATCCAATATGGCGATCAATTAAAAAAAATGGTTGGATTTGTTTGAAACTCGGATCCGCCATTTTGAATTTTGAAAATCTG